GGAACAGCGAATACATTTTTAACATTATTTTCATTTTATTCACAATAGGTGCTTAAATATTTTCCCATTATTTTCTGAACATAAATATGATCTTCTAACAATACAATTCAAAACATCACGTAACATTTCTTTTGTAATCATACTAAATGCTTCTATTACACATTCTCGTAACTACTGCTCAGTTGCAAAAGTATACTGATAAGCTTGGTTTTTAATAAAATCCCAAACAAAAAAGTCCAGAGGAGGTAAATACGGGGAACGCGCTAGCCAGGACACTCCACTGGAAGTTCCAATCCACCTTCGGGAAAATCGCTGAGAAAGATACTCTCGAACTTACCTAGAGTTATGTCCAGGAGCACCGTCGTGTTGAAACCAATGGCTATTAACCTGTGCCAAAGGTAAATTATCCAGGCAGACTTCTAGATCATGTTGCAAGAATTGAAAGTATCATTCTGCAGTTAACGAGTAATATTTTGGTCACTGTAGCTCCACATCGCATGTTAAACCCAAAACGGTCTTGATGTCTAGATCCTTTAGCCCGCAGATTTTCTTGATCCCAGAATGAGTGTGATTAAAGATATCTTTATTAGTGACCATACTCTTGTCGGACTATATTATTTTTGAAGGGAATCCTCTTCACGCGTTCGTGTGTTTCATTCACAAAAATGCTGGTGCCGTTCGCTATCCCCTGGTCTAAGTCCTTGGCAAATCCTGAATTTAAAAGGGTGATATCTATTTTTACGCAATATAAATTCGGCTGTGGATTTAGCTACTCCTACATTTTTCTGAATTTGCGTGGTTGATATCTCAGAGTTCTCAGCAACTGCTTGTTAAACACTATTCTGAGTTTCCTCTGAATATTCCTTCTTTCGAGACGGAACAGGCTTTTTGAATGAACCGTATTCATTTATAATTCGAGCCAACTCTAAGAAAATGGACATACTTGGCTGCCTTTTTTCGGGAATTCAATCAAGTTGCATTTCTGCAATAGTTTTAGTGTTTCTGCAGCACAAAGTGTAGCACGTCAGCCTGTCCAACTTTTCTTCACTGCTAAAATGACCGCATCTTTGACGATAATAAAGAAATACTAACAACAGTACACAATTTTAACAATACTCGGTGTAACAGGTATTTACGTCAAGTCCAGCAAAAATAGAAAATCAGAAAAACGCATTTTTTCTTATAACTAAGAAAATGAATGTAACATGTGATACACCGTGGAATTCGTATAAAAAAGTGTTTTTAGATACAGCTGTACTTCTTTTTCGGGCCAAATAAAAAAGTTTTTGACGATTTCTCAAAAACGAATTGTTGGGCACAAAATTCAAAAACAATATCATGTAGTGCCTGAAAAGTTCCAATGGAAAAGTTTCATTTGTTTTTGATAAATCTCAATGGTTTTGTCAAATTTTAGTTTCTCCCAAATATCTAAGTCAGTAACGGCAAGTAAATTCGCCCCAAAGAACGCAACTTTTTCCTAATTTAACCTAAGCTGCATCTCCCACAAGTATTGAGATCCCCATGCACAGGATCCTTATACATATGTGAAACCTTGTATAGTCTTATGGCTAGGTGATAGAAGTATATGGTTCACATTTTGACACTCCAGATTTCAACTACAACAGAAAGAAGCTTTTCGAAATTAAAAGTGACTTAATTATCTAATTAACTATGACTATGAGATTTGGTGGGTACCCAATGATTTCATAGGCAGATCATTTCAAAACACTAAAATCGTCTTCAGCTATGAATGAATTAGTAAAAAGGTTGTTCGTAAAAAATAGAGCTAAGTAGAGTGGTATTGATAAAAGAATGGAGTGATAAGTTTTATATTGCGTAACTATTTTCTGTCGTGATAATTTTTTCGCTGTAATGTTTTACAAGAAGGAAAACTTACTTAGACGTACTGAGCATGCATATTCCTGATAAAGTCATCATGCACAATGAATCCGTGAATACAATTGTTATATACTGCCAATCATGTGGTAGCAATATAGGAATCTTTCTTTTCGAACCTGTTGGTGCATTGCATAAAAAGTACAGCGGAACAAACGTCAGTTTACTTAGAATCACCATTAAAGTGAACCATTTGGCGTTTTTGCGCTGGAAAAATTGGAAATCATATGTTATACATAAGATTTTTATAATCTACATAAAATATATATAGTATATAAAATATTTTCATTTACTTTGGATTGCTTTAGCGAAGTGTTTCAACTGTAAAATTGCGCTAAGTCTGTTGACTCTGCACTTCCAAAGCAACGCTGTCATCAGTTCAAAGCGGTCTATGCTTAGCACAAGTTAGCCCCTCTAAGAAAAAAAATGTATAACAAAAAGTAAATGGATCAAGTCGGGCCAACAAGCCTATATAATTAGTCCACAGTTCCCTCCCATTTGACAACGTTGTGATTTGGATATTTCTTGTCTACCCTACCGACAGTGCCGACCATCCACCATGACTCTGTGGTTACGACTTATCTCTCCACTCGCCAACCACGCCAACCACCCAGCATTCACAGCACGACTCGGGTATATCCAGAGACGCGTGTGTTGAAAATAGTTCTCTATCATTCAAGTTTTAAGGGCAAATATATGATGAGTGAAATATGTCTAAAATGTGCGTAGAATTACTTTCCGGAGTTGGAAACGTATAAATATGCTAATACCAAAAGATGAGATATATGCTTTCCCATCCCTATAACCCCCAACACCCAGTATTTAACACCTACATTATTTCTGCAAATGTTTGAGAGCTTCTGAAACGTCAAAAAAAGAAGCTTTAGCAATTGTTATTTTTTCCTTTTTTGCCCCTAACTTCGTCACTGAACCAATTTTCAAAAACTGCAAAGCTATATCGTCCTTGCCATAGTAGTAACCTCGTGTGGAAATTGCATCAAAACCAGAACGGAACTTTCCAAATTACTAGCGGAGTGACAGCCCAACGGAAATGAGTGACATGGTTTGTCATATAACATCCAAAAAACATCATGGCACTTCAACTATAAATTTTTGGCTCTGATGTAAAATCTGGTCCAGAGATGGCATTATTGGAGGTCTAAGCTGTAAGTTATATGCTATAGCTGGAAGGAAACGGTAAGGCATATGTACATAGTGAGGATTTGTATGCTAATAATCTGCGTTGATGATAATTACCTCAGTTTCTTATCAAATACACATAGTTGAGATGTATGCTTCATCCTGGAAATCGCATATGCAAATTTACTGAGTTTCAAAAATGACAGAGATAACAAAGACAATCCCTGGATGGTGAAGTATATTGAGTGACAAAAAAGGTAAGCACCTACGTATGCTTATTATAATTCAAGAACTTTTTTCATATCGATTTATCTTGCCATGAACAATAACTGATAAAATGGTCAGGTTCTTCTGTTAAGTTTTTGTGGTAGCTGCTTGTATTATTTGGTGATAAAGAAGCATTCAGTTTTCGTACATTTACGGTGTCAGTTAAATGTTAAATTTCATTTAGCTTATTGAGAAGCTTTTTGATGATTGCTCAAAACGCCTAGAGTGGGTGGAATTCGCCGGGTGTCCCAGCTAAGTGACTTTGAGGAAGGCCGAGAACAGCGAGCGAGGGGTTCTGGACGCCCCAAGGAGACCACAGAGCGACAAGACCCCCGGTTTTTGAGATACAGATTCAGTAGTACTCGAGCCATCGCTAATCAGTGGTTTGAAGAGCATGGAAGGATGGTTGGTATGCGTACGGTATATTCCCGAATACGATACTTTGGCCTTTTTTCTTATCGCCCACATTGGGTGCTATCTCTCACAGCTGCAGCAGTTTGCTCTGGTGTAGAGAAAGAATTCTATGGGACCGGAAATGGAATCAGGTGACGAATCCCGCTGTTGTCTGGGGATGCACGATGGTCGGGCAAGAGTGTAAGACGTGATCCACAATTTGACAGAGATCGTCACGTTCACCACACGGTGGGAGTTATGGTATGGGGTGCTATTGCTTATGGTAGCAGATCATCATTTTCATCAGAGGCAATATATAGCTCGATGCTATATTTAGGAAGTAGTGGAGCCTCATCTTATTCCATACCTAAGCACCATCCAAAACCCGATTTTTCAGCAAGACCATGCCAGACCGCATGTTGCCAGAGCATCGTTAGCCTTCATGGATCAACATCGCATCAACCGTTTACCTTGGCACCACGATCGCCTGACCTATCTCCAACTGAACATGTCTGGGACATGATAGCTCGAAAGCTCTTAAATTTGCAACACCCTCCACAGACTTAAGCAGCTCTTACTTACGAATTTGCAGTAGCCTGGAATGAGATACCCCAACAGAATATCGACCTCTTTATCAGCACGATGCCCAGGCGTGTCAATGAGTGTATAGAAGTCGTGGATCCTCAACACATTATTGTACCAGCATCTGCAGTCAGTTGACGAATCAAGCTGAAAATTTAATCATTTTACTAGTAAGGGACACTGAACATATATGCCAAAAGTTATTAAAATTGGATAAACGTACGTAGGTGTTTACCTTTTTTGTCACTCAGTATATATTACAACAGGTGAGAAAATATGATACAGACAGGAATATTTATGAAACGTGGAAAGATTATTACATTTTGCATTATTGTTTATTTCGAGTCATTTAAATTTTATAAAAATTTATTTTCCGATGTGAAGTAGAAAATACAAAACAGCGCCTAGTGTGAGGCACTGCGAGTTTTTTTTGTGTATAATGCGTTATTCCTATTTTTCTGTGACGTGAGTTGATTACACACAACGCGGGCGCGGTGGTGATTTCCCGTAATGCTTCTCAAAGTTTTTTAAAACGCAACAAAACCGGGGAAAATTGTAATATATAAGTTTGAATATAACCTCTCTCCAGAAAAGACAACACAGATAACCCTACTATTACAGCTAATATTCAGCAGCATATTCAGAAATAATTTTCTCACGTAGCAAATATCATTGATTTTATACACATGCAGACCAATATACACAATCATCCAGATGCGATCTTGCTATTCATCTAATTTTCTTTCTTTCACATCTTCTCAGAGATACATACTGTGCAGACTATCTCGGCATTCTGCAACCAACAAAGCACGCCATGTCGTTGAGTCATTTCTCCATAGATGAAGCTAGGGTGACGCTCAGAGCGCTCACAGCAAGCAAAGCGGAATGTTATACTCTAGCAGCTATTAGGTCAGAAAGTTGACATTTTGTCGTATTTTTTTTTGACATTGTACTCGTATATTTTTTTCACTTAATAACCCTGCAGGGATATGGATAAAACTGATTTTGATGTGTGGCTTGTAATCGGGGGAATACCGGACACCAATGTCAGACTATCATATCATGAAGTTCCTTCATTGATTATTGAAAAATTGCGACTTTGACGTAATTGTAGCATAATTTTGACCGGCGTTTCAACCAAAAAGCGTCTAGTAACAGTGGTAATGCGCATTGTTGACGCAGAGTTACGATGGACAACGATTTTCATGTCAGTTGTGAAGGAAGCATATACAGGGTATTATTTCTTCATATGAAAAGAACGTTTTCTATACTGTTGGACAAAAGGGTTTGAATGAAGTGTGTTTCGCAACACGACTGCAGCATTCTCTAAAAGACCAACCATACTCGGATACCATTTTTATCCACATCCCGGCCACGTAATAGATTTAACGAAATATGCTACTACTATCGATTTTAAGGGTGCGATATTTATTATCAAATGAACTCAGACTTACGGTCATTAAAGGCCTCGCAAAGTACTTGGTTACAAGCCCAACCAAATCATGTATCAGGAATGTTACAACTGGTACGAAGTATTTCTCTAAAACATCATAAATATCAATCGTCCATAGTCAAGTACGAAAGTGGAACATAATAGTTTAGTTTATTGTACATCTCTACGTTAAGTACAAGTGTGTACTCAACGTCTTCTCACCAAATAACTAGACGTGCATGTGCATGCATTTCAAAATATTTGTTCCAGCAGATCATATTCCGGTCTATTTTATTGAGGTTAGTAGCATCTTTGGTGTTTGCTTGAAATCATTTCGTAACTTAAAATATGTTCTAAATAAGATTAGAAACATTTATAGTTCATGCAAGTTTAGGCATGCTTAGTTGAAAGTCAGGCATTTGGTTAACGGTTGGATGGAATATTGCATTGCATTGTTTTCTTGTTTCCGCGTTATGTTTGTTTGGTTTGGATCACGGGTAGATTTAGAGTAGCGAGGGAGGTGTGCCTAAACATGAATCCGCCCTTGGTTGGCATCATTGGTTTGTAGCTTACATTTGAAACCAAAAGTCATAAAATGAAGATAACTGCATTGTGGATTTATACATATTGTTGTTTGTTTTCACCAAGAAGGTCGTGACCTTCTAAGATTAACAAAACAATGTAAAACCAACCTCGTGCCAAAATATGCGTTTTGTAGGTTACTAATGCACAGAACTATCGTTCCAGCAGGATTGGTATTAATTTTTATTCCATTCATGTCACTGGATGCTAGTATAGAAGTATACACTGCTTTTCAGTAAGGTCCCTCTACCTTTTTTGAACAGGTCAAGTGAGGGAGCTGAAATTCGCGGCTATGGAAGTGACGTATGAATACTAGGTATATTTCAACCTAAAAATAACAGTTGAACATCTCAATACGGTGGATGAACGCCATCTTTTAACATTTTTTTTTAATGGAAAGAGGGGTCATGTGATATCTTGTTTTGGATCTCCTTGTGGGTACTTGATAACTCCTGAAATCATTATCTTTAGACACGGCCGACTTATTAGTCCAGTTAAATAGCCGAAACTGCCGCAAAAGTAATAACATGGCTACAAAGTTATGTCCGCTGGCGTAATGATGTAATAAAGGCTTGCGAATATTGTCGTAAGAGTTTGGTTTTCCGGAAACCAGCCGTTTTTTGTAAAACAGCGAAAAACCCAAAAAACCTCTTTTTCGCTGGAACGGCTGAGGATATCTGGGATTTTTTTACATACACATACGTCGGTGAACACCACATACGCAAATTGATGAATTTTTGAAATTTATGCGTTTAAGTAGAGTACAAGATGCAATAATTTCTCTTCAACCGCTTACCGATTGACTGGATAAGTGAGGTATAGTATTTTCATTTAGAATTGGAACAACGACAAAAAACCTAGAGCTGCAAAAAAGGTGTGAACGTGTATATAAATGAGCGGCAATGATACAAATACATTACACGACGTAGAAGCCAAATGAGTCATCAAAAGACTCGTTTTCGAGGCTCCACGTTATTTTCATAATCATCCTCGCAAATCAGTTTGATCACCGGTAGTTCTTGATCTACGACCATGGTAAGAGCAGTTCTTGAGCCGCGTCTATACGTTGGGCTAACACACGCCTACGCAAATATGTAAAGAATAGACAATGGTCGATTATGATGAGCATTTGACGATGTCTTCTCTGCACACTCGCTGTGGAAAACAATAATAATGCTCACTGGTCTAGTCCTAGTCTCAATGTATCGGTGTACGTTAGCTTGACGTGTAGACACGGCAGAATGCTCTGCTGTACAACTTATCTGGACAGGACTTCACACCTTTTTTGTGCAGCTTAGGGATTTTTTGCATTTCCAATTATTGATAATGGAAGGACTATAAGTATGTGTGTGAAGATTTCGGAGTTGAGTTAATTGAACAGAAACATAATGGTTAAGAAATTGTCATCCTGTCAAAATCGAAAATACACAAAATTGATACATCTTCCGATAAATGGTTTGTCCATAATTTCTTGTCTCCAATGAAATATACGGAAAAAATATTTAACTTCAAGCATAAACTTCGAAAATTAGTTCATTCGGAAAAGTCGGTGAATGCCAAACTGACAGGCGAGCTCAGGGTTCAAAATTCAACTATTACTGAATTTGACAACTTCAAATGAGGACTTAAATTTATAGCTTGGCGATTGGCTACTTTAGTGGCTCCCAGTATCGAGCAAATTGGCGATATCTGGTGATTTTTAGCATTCCTGACGCCACTTAATTTATAATCTATTTTTGCCGATATAATAATAATAAGCCGTCTTTATTGAGGGGGCGAAGTTTAGCATAATGCTACACTGCCACTTAACTCCCCCCAAAAAAAAGAAAAAAAGAAAAACTGAAAAACAATACAAAAAATATAAATACATTTGATAGGTTACAAGTTTAAAAATGTAGGTGCATAAAAAATATGATGTATATAACATAATATATAAGTGAAGGTTATTCAACATTTCATGAGCTGAAAGTATAAAATTGTAACAGTTATACAAACAAAGGAATGCGATATTGGAAATATTTTTGTGTGAGGTGACAGATAAATTTTATCAACTAATTTATATACTTCTATGTATTCAAAATAAATTTTTTCATATGTCTTTTAAATTTATCATATGATAGCAATTATGTGGATCGAGGTATAGCATTGTAAAAAATAATTGTTTAGATTAATGGAACATGAAACGAGGACCAGCGGAAGTTCTGTGCTCTAAGCACAATGGATCCGCCCCATGTGAATGAACTTATTGTTTCGTTCAGATTACACGTGTCTAACAACTACCCCCGCCATCCTCCCCCTCTCCCTTTTCAAGAAATTGTTTATCATATAATATTATTACCTCACCCCCGCTCTTCAGTTAACAGGCAGGCTACTACCAAATTCATTCAATGATATTCGCAATCCTTTATTACACCATTACGCCAGCGAAAATAACTTTGTGGCTATGTTATGACTTTTGTCTCAGTTTCGGCTATTTAACTGGACTGGCTGTCAAGGTTGAGCGTCTTTGTTCCTTAAATAACTTATAAGTGAACAACAAATCATCAAAACGTTAGAGTATGTTTATCAATCTTCTTCTTTCGGGTGGGGGGAGGTCCATTTGAATCTGTAATAAAATATGATAGTCGGGCACTTGTTCTGCGACTGCCCAGCTGTCCTGTTAATCGAATGATCCATTCTGGGATGGTTGACGATCCAGTCTTGAGCGACCCCTTCCACCTATACAGAATGTATTAAACACACCATAGCATTTTGATGATCGGCTGTTAAATTATAAGCGACTCAATGTGGTACAAAAACGCTCAAATTTGAGAACCTGTTTCATCGCTATTTTAGAAGATATAAATCAAATCCAAGCGAATAACCAAAATTTCTGCGTTATGTGCCGCGGTTATAATATGGTTCAAGATGACACACGGGTTGATGACGTCAGTTACACGAATCGCTTGAACGCGTTGGTGTTAACCGCGGTTTTGTTGCAAGTTGTTTATTTTAGGAAAGTGCATATATTACCACTTAATAATTGGTGCTTTTTTGTCTACAACGGTGTATGGAAAGTTTAAATAAGAAACCTTTCATAATATTCATGGGAGAAATGTTTTTTTTTTCATAAAAATTTGTTTAATGATGGAACCATGGTTTTGTAGCTATGATAACTTTCAATTCACAAAAGTTTTCCGCATGTCATAGAAAACATTTATTGATTTAGCAGAAATGATGAAAAAAGATATTAGCAAAACCGTAGGTATAGAGGTGGACATCATCCAGTGAGTTAAATGGCCATATTTTAATATTCTTGTGGTATATGGCAACACAGGATACTTTGTTAAACATAGGAACTAGATTGAAAGTGTTCCCAACAACAGTAATGAGTATAACTAATAAGGTGCTCCACTTTATGCTAACACTAAAGTCAGCCTGTATCAAGTTTCCCAAAAATGAAGCTGAAGTACAATAACAATATCCAATACCCGGCAAAATTCTAACTTGTCACATTTCAAATAATACCCAGAAATATAAAACTACTCATGAGTTGGGTAAATACCACAATTTTGCGGTGATAACTGTGACATATAACAGCTGATTCATGATGTCACGGATCTTATAACCAAACTGATAACCACACTCGTTTGAACGGATCGGTAAATACCAAGCCAAAATGGTAAATACCATTTTCATTTGGTTATCCGCTTGAATTTGATTAGTGATTTTATATACTATGGTTATATATCATAAGCGGCTTCAAAATGACACGACCCGTCATGTCATATAAAAAGTATTCCAAAATGTCGCCCGCCACCGCCTTAAATTTTTAAACTTCCAGTTTTACGCCTAAGCAACTTCATTACTCTAATTTTCAACTCTCCAACTTGATCTGTTCAAAAAATAAGTAGGGAGGCCTTATTAAAACCATTGTATGTTCTGCGCGTGAATTTAACATTTTGCTGGAACAAAGGTTATAGAAAATTTCACATAGCTAAGCAATGCAGAATTAATGAAGCGGTAACTGCACAACTTATCATCAGACTGGTCCTGCATCTGAATGTTAGCTTACCATTCCAAGGATTTCCATTTCCATAATACTCTGATACAACCAAATAGGTCACTGGTCCGGTACAAGTCATACAGACCAGTACAAAAAACAATTGAATGATAATATGCCGAATGCAGTATCCGGCTTGGAGCAACTGTTTGAAGGTTTTTGGTGGGTGTTTTATATCTTCCGATGAATCACCAACGTAATACCTAAAAAATATGTAACCACTTATAGTATATTGGAATGCGAAAAAAGTAGCGTAACGTATCGAATGCCACTGTCAGTGCGGCGTTGTCTTGAGCACACCCAACTAGCATTTTGTTAAAATGGGCTACTGTCCAAGAAAATGCTACCTATGTTTCTCAAATTTTAGTAATTATATGCTTAAATGATGTCCTCAAAAGTTTAATTGTCTTGACTTGAAAGTTGAATCTTCCGTCAAAAATTGGTAAATACGAATCAAATTAGGGCCCTAATAGACCTTTGACCAAGAGGTTAAATTGATTGGTTCAAAATTACAAAAAGCACACCTAGAAGAAGTACTTAAGGAATTCCTGACCTCGAAGATAAATCCAGCGGTTATACCTTACCCAATATTAACTTAAGATATGCCCTCAATGTAACCAATAAAAATTCCTTTTAAGTTTGTAACATGGATTGGTAAAAAACAAGTAAATATGTGCGCTAAATAACCCTATTATACACCTTGATGTTAATAGGATTCTTTTAGTAAATGCTCGTCTATATTTCGACATTGATAGTAACTTTGGAGGAAAAATTACCTTTTTTGCGTCATTCTGTTCAGATAAAAATTGTAGATATGCTATTTTTCTTTCCTCACATGAGTAAGCGCGTGATTTCTCTTTCGCTTGTATGTAAGAATTTAGGTTTTCTACAGTTTTGTTTGTTTAATATGTAGTATGGGCAATATCTGTTTGTAGGTGGTTTGTTTACTCTAAAAGTAGTTACAGGAGCATATTTATCATAAACTCTCATCAGTGTATTTGTTAGGAACTCAACTTTTGAATCTATATAGTTCATAAAAAATAAGTCGTTTATATTTGCAGAAGTTAAATCACGTAAAAAATCTTTCTCATTGTACCATTTGAAGTTCCTTACAGTTACGTTGTTTATTTTTTAAATTAGGAATGAAGAGAGAGCACGATACCATTTGGTGGTCAGATATGCCGTTAGAATCGAGAACCAAGCAGTCGGAAATAATGTCTGGTTTGTTAGTAAAGACTGGATCTAATCAGGATGCTATGTTACTTGTGACTTTAGTAAGGTCAATGACAATTTGTGAAAAACCCACCATTTGAAAACATGGAGAAAGGATGTTGTTGCCGCTCATTGTTTGACATTAACGGTAACATAAGATCTAGACCCCTGATGCAATCATTGAGGTTTTGTGAAGGCGGTTTGTACAACACGTAAGACGTATGTATCTGTTTACTTTTATGCTGATCCACAGTTGTTCCAAAAAGTTTCCAAAGTTGTTGTCAAAGTTAATAACTTCAACCTGAAGGTCAGTGGATATGTAGACTTCTACTTGTTGATACTCACCGCATCATTGGTAATGTCCTGGCTTAACCATGTTCTACTTACAGCGAAAATATCGAACCGCTCAGTCTAAATCAGGTCAATAATTGAAGCAAGACAGAGAGATCGCACGTTCAGATGACCAAGCTTCATTGATCTTGAATTATCCATAATCTATTCTTGCTTTAAGACTGAGAACATGATTCTCAAAAGTGGACAAGCTTTATCAGATGCAGCATGCTCAACATTTATTTTTGTCGATATTTAGGATTATACCGCATACAGTTTGCACATTTCACAGAATCATATTACAATTTTTATAAGAATGGCCACTAGAACACTTAAGACACGTAGATACATTAGATGCACAGTTCTTCTCAAGATGACCAAATGAACAGCATTTTCGGAACTGCATAATATTGAGGTGATCAACGACGCTGAACTTCTTCCATCCTACGTAAACGAAACCTTTTGTTAGTAGAAGTCTTATAATTGATGAAGACACTTCTAGAACTATGTACATATTTTTGGAATCCCTAGACATTAACTTTGCGACTACTTTCATCGGGGTTGAAGAATCTTCATCGTTGAAGTTATTTAAAGGCAATATGTTTTGAACAATACTGTCGTTATAGCCCAACTCATCATTAGATGCAACATTTTTTATTATAACACGAGGATTAAATTTCTTGGATTCACCAATACCCATTACCAAGCTTGTTTTTAAGAGTTTCCTTCAGCCTCTGGAGGTCCTAGGAGCTGTTGCAATATACTGCTGACACATCTTTTTTGTATGGCAGTTTGGAAGAAAGTTCCATACCAAGGTTATAGATTAGTTATAGATTCAAATATAGAGTTTTTCGTTCGTGTATGAAATCAGCTTTACTGTGTGTTATATTTTCTTCGTCCTGAGAACTGTTGCAATACACCTCTGCACTATGTTAGTTTTTTGTACCACTTATATGAACGTTTAGGTGGACTGGATTGACTGCATCACTATTGCATCTGACTACATCGGGATTCTGCTTGTTGTTTTCTGTTTTTACCAGAAATACAGATTAATCAATATTGTTTACACGTTTTTTCAGAATATCACTGTAGGCGGGTCTATTTACATCCTTGCGCACAAAAAGTGGTTCACCTTCGCAGGTACAATATTGTCGGATAATTTTGATTTTAACAGTGTGTTTGAATATTCCAATTGTTTATTCGTTTTTGCATGAGACCTTTTTCTCTCTGCAAACACACGATTTCTTTCCTACATATGGCTAACTCAGATTATTCACATGTAGTCAATTTGCCACAGATCTGATTGGAGGCCGGTTTTTTCTACTTTAACCTTGAAAGAGGCACAAAACCATTGTAAGTTATCACATTTTGATAAAATTCTTGGGATGTCGTCTTTCACTGTTACACAGTGATTGTGAAAGAGTTTTTCGCAATTTCTTCAAGACACTACCTTCATATTAACTATGAAATTGTCCGAGAAGTGCGCACAGACGTGTGCATCGTGTTTTATAGGGCAAAATTACTACGATTTTACCACAAGATGGCCTAAATAGTTGTTTCTATCATTCGACCTATTAGTAATAAATGCCTCTTCGATCTAATACTAACTTCTAGATTACCTTGGTTTTATTTCCCGCTTTGGGAAAAAGGCAAACGTTTGGAAGTAAATATAACCTTTTTTAAATTGGTCTTAAAATCTTTCTAACCTATTTTGTAGTCAAATTAATGATAGTTTGAAATATGTTGGTTTGGGCATATACATAAAGTCACGCCGCGCTAACAGTGGCGTGAGATGAACTTTGTTACTACCTACCCCCCCCCCTCCCCAATATTTTGTTACTTGAATATTAAACGTACCTGTAGAATTGCAAATGGTCACTAACCAAGCCCAATAAAAAAGCAATGCCAATAACTGTAGTACCTAAAACAGAGAACAATAAGCAATGCGTGCTGTGAAGTTGCAATTAGGACCTTTTTTATACTGAAGAAGTTAGTAAGTTGAAGTAATGCGTGATCTTTGCAAAAAGTAAAAGGTATGGTCATACCTACGTACCACTAACAAAGAAAATCAAGGCGCTTGATTGTGGGTCTTTTCCTATAGCCAAACTGAGTATCTGCAAAAATATACTAAATAGACTTGAACAACCAGAGCCGTACATGTCAAATTTTTGGTATATAATTGGAAAACGAGCCAACAGCCTGGAATGGCTTATGCGGAAAATTACACCAGCCACTAGAAAAAATAGTACATACAGGCATATGTAAAAAGAATAACTGTAATTAGTAACTTACTTGATTGTATTGTCATTAATGCTACAACAACTATCAAAAACATCACTTGCCCTGGAATAAAAATAGTCATGGTTGTATCTAGGGTGTTAAGAGGGTGGATATAGGCCAAGGTATATAAACGCCCAAGATACATACGGAATTTTATCTGCAAATGGCTTTACCCCGTCGTTGTCAAAATTCATTAATTTTTTTCCATAATCGCAACCATTTAAAAAGTATATCAAGATAACACATTTTCTTTATATTTGGTTTCATTCTTGACATCTACGTCACTCGTTTCCGACGATTTGCATGCTTGACTTCTTATTTTACTTTTTCTTCCAATTTATTTAATGGGATTTATATGAATCAAAGTTAATCATTTTTAAGAACGACAAAATTGTATTCTCGAATCTTTGGAGTTTCCTTCACCTCTGTTACGTATGACTATGAAGTCCATAGTAACTTTGAGGCCTATCAACATACATCAAGCAACCTAACATCCTAGTTTTTTCATATTCCTTACAGTGTCTGATTCCTTCCAATCGTTTCAAGGCATTTGGAAGAATTTTTTGTATTATCAATTCATTTTTTCAAAATGCTATTTTTAATTTTGAAAATCAACTGATAATAATGTCCAAGGAGTCATGTACTACATTGTATGTAGAAAGCTCAAAAGTTATTCGTAAACCTGTTTGTCAGTATTTCTGTTTGCTTGTGTTTTGACTTTCTTACAAGCCTGTATATAGCTAGACCTATCTGTTAGTATGTATGTGTGGGACATCTTGGAACTGGATTTGAAAACAAATCTCATTAACCGATTGAGCTTAAACTTTAATCAAATCCAAGCGAATAACCAAAATTTCTGGGCTATGTACCGCGGTTATAATATGGTTCAAGACAGTGGCGTGGCTAGTAGTCATGGGGCCCCGGGGCAAACATTTTTTGGGGGCCCTCATGAGTATGTTTAAGAATAAAAAATATCATGTTATAATAAAAAAATTGTTTATTGTCATAAAAACAAAAAGTAACACAAATTAAAATAATGAAATAACAAAAGTCAAAAATTAAACAATAATAAAATTAAAAATCCCTTTTTCTTGCTTTTCTATTTGCAAATTCGTTGATAATATCATTTATATCAAGGTTTTGGGCTTCTTCATTCTCTATAGAGAGCAAAGCAAATTCGCTTTATCTAATCTGGCATGTAGTAGACCTAAGATAGTTTTAGCTTGTTAAATGATCTTTCAACAGTTGCAGTAGTTACAGGCAACGTAAAAAATAAAAGGAACATCAAGTAAACTTCACTTAAGTGGCTTTCAAGTACTCCATACTTACTTAAAATTATATTGAAATATTCCTTAATTGATGGATCACTCTTAAGGTCTGTTTTACAAACATTTAACAAATTGGTATACTGAAATATTATTTAAATCAAATATTTCAGGATATTTGTTATAAATGGCTGTACATTTATTTTTAATAGATGTTTCATCGCAACTTAATATAATTTTTGGAAGAAGTAAATCAAACAATTTATTAATTTTTTTCATGCTCCTAAATCTATTAGAAATCTGTGTCAGAACACGGTCCATAACATTAAAAACATTTATTTTAAATAAAATTTGAGTATTATTAAATCTGTAATCACTTAAGAGTTCGTCAAAGTGTTTTTTAACTTTAGGTTGACGTTTTTGCCTGAATTCCGGTTGAATATTCCATTTGTTACCCAGTTCCGAAGCTTCAATCATTAAAATTTGATAAAACGATCTTAATTCAGCAAGGTTCTTTTCTACTTGTTCTAAAACAGTCACAGATTCACTTAAATCGATATTTTTCTTTTGAAGGACCTTTGAGGCGAAGTTAACCTGGCTAAAGATTTTATACAACATTGTTGAAATAAATACAAATTCAAAGCAACACATTTGTTTTTTAATGGAAGAAGCTTCTTCTCTTTCTTCTTTTTTATGAGACTGTAACTCTACTTCTGTTAAAGATTTAATAGTATCAAGATAACGAAGTTTGACAGCACTAATAGACAATATCCTTCCTGACCAACGAGTTGGATTTAATGTTTTTAAAGTTGTTTTGGATTCACTGGTAAAAGAAGCTAAAAGATCCCATCTATTAATACTTAAACCAAAAAAGAATATATATTTTGCAAAGTGGCAAAATATTGCGATACCTCTTTACAACAATTTACTGCATCATTTATTACTAAATTTAAGTTGTGACTTGCACAATGTACCTACATATTCGGCATTTTGTTGAACTCTTTTTATTTGAGCATTTACTCCATTATACGCCCCACTCATTACACTGGCTCTATCGTAGCCTTGCCCATAACATTTTTCAATGGGAATATCTAGATTTTTTAGTATATTTAAAACTTCTTGAGTCATTCCTCCAGCAGAATGATCTTTTAACTGGAAAAAACCCAAAAAAGTTTCTTTGATTTCAAACTTTTGAGCTAGCAGATTTTTATCTCGAATTATGTGACACGTTCGAATGACTATACTTAATTGATCTATCTTTGTGATATCTTGAGTTGTATCAAGAAGCAAAGAAAAAATGTTGCAGAATTTATTTGTTTTGTTAATTCAAAACTAAGTTTTTTGAAAGGCAATCTATCAATTTATTTTGAATAGTTGGGCTAAGATATCGCACAGATTCAGAAGGCATTTCCACCACCTGTTTCATAACATCGTCATAGTCTGACAAACATTTCACTTGAGCCATAAAATTCCCACTAAAATCATCTTGACGTTCACGGTGCCCCCGAAATGACAAGGAACATTTTGCCAGAAGTAATGTAATTTTAAATAATCTTTGCAATACCATTTTCCAGAAGGATGCTTGAAATCTGACCTCTTCTTCTAGGTTCTTGTCAATGGCACGATTTTTTCTCCAAAGGTCGTGAACAGCGCAAGCTTCAATATGAGCTTTGCTTTTACTGTGCTCTTCAATGCGTGATGATAAATGTTTCCAATCTCTTAAGCCCGTACTCCAGTGACTGCACAATTTTGAGAAAAGCCAACAAGATTCATAATAGGCTGCATCTAGTACAGTTGAATAGCACAGCCAAAGACGATTGACAGAACCGTATTTTGTAGTTGAAAAATAATAACTCTCACTAAAACTGCGATCATTTTGGTTCGAATCCTTGGGAAATGGACCTTTAGGTCTGTTGGGTTCAAGACTAATAATAATCTTTTTATCTTCATCAGTAAGAGTTTTTCCCATGTAAAATCCAAGATCGCTACATACAGTAATGTTGCTATTAGAGGAACCTGGTGTAGTAAACATGGCATTGCTAATAACTTTATCAAAAGTAAAAGTCTTAGTACAAGGCAAAAGTTCTTTAGAGGTAGAACAAGAAATAAAAGTTGATTCACGTGTCTCAGAAATATTGATAGTTACTTGTTCTTTTTCAGAAGATTGAGAGGCTTCAAATATTTTTTCTATTTTAGCATGCTTTTTTAATTTTTCCTCTTTTTCTAATTTCAATTTTCGTTTCTGTGCTCCAGACTAATATTTCCGCTTATCTTCCATTTTTATTTTTTTAGCGTTTTGTTCCGCAATCTGCTAATCCTGCAAAGAGAAGAATACACAACCATTTTTAAATGCATTAAATAGTTCGATAGTTGTGTATCAATTAGACTGTTTCAAAAAAATCGTCTATTTTTTTCTCTCAAGTACGTCGAAAATATTGTTAGAAATGACGAAAAAAAATCCTGTAAAAGTAACAGTCGACGATATTAATATTAAGTGGTGCCGCATCGCAAATTTCAATTTCCCTCGAAAAACTTTTGAAGTAGGTTTATCGGAAAATTGTAAGAGACCTTTTCTATAAAGCATTCAATTCCCTACAAGAGTAAACTATGAACTCCGTATGATAATTTAGTAATGAGAAAAAAATTCAAAAGTTGATAACAATTTTTTTCCCATGTTAATCAAATGGGAAATTGAAATTTGCTATGCGGCACCTCAAAATATTAATATTTAAGAGCTGTAACTTTTACAGGATGTTTTTTCGTCATTTCTAGCAATTTGTTCGATATACTTACTTAAGAGAAAAAAAATTAGTCGATATTTTTGAAACAGTGAATAGATCATTTTTAGTCTTTAAGAGACTTTTCGAATTTAGTGTCGGGTTTAAGGTGCCCGCAGAGTTTACGTAACGTAAGACTTAAGCCCAGACTTAAGCCTTAAGCTGTAACGTAATTTCACATGCCTTAAGGCTTAAGTCTTGACTATACTTTATAAATCACCTTATCAGAATTCTGTATAATTCGTTGCGGTTAAGTCTTAATCTGTCTTAAATGAAACTTAAGTCTTAAGTCTTACGTTACGGAAATTCTGCGGGCGCCTTTACTCAGCAAGGTAATGGACAAATGTACATTTACAAACAGAATTACGCACAAATCAAAATCGAGCCATTTATTCATTAAGTAATATAACTTACACTTACCTTTTTTTCTAATAGGTACCTTATTATTACGAGACACAATAGTCACAAGACAAATATGGTAATGTTATTTTACACCACGTCGGGCACCACGGCACGACTACGACACATATCAATATCACATAGGGCACGCTGGGTAGTTAAAATCATCAAAACAATAGGGGGAATCTCCAAAGACGAGACGTAATAGTAAGGCGGTGGTGCCAAGCCCGTCGCGGTCCGACGGATTATAGCTACATACATTTAGGAACGCAAGCGTTTTCCTCAAATATGAAGCGTTTTAAAAAATAAACGTTATTTATCATTATACTTTGAAGTTGAGTCATTAATTTTCAGATAATGATTGTAGAAGGAAGATAAACCAAAATATGTGTGTAAAAATAAAAATAAAAATTAAAAAAATGTTACCTTGTTTTATAAAGTATCCTCCCGACAAGTATTTCAGTGCGGACCTGTATTTGATCGTGCGGTCTTGGAGCACCGGCATGCCCTCCCCTGTGAGGTCTTAAGTCACCTGATTCACGAGCCATTTGTACTGCATTAACAAAGGCACGAGGGCTTGGTTGCACTCGATTGGGAAACCGATCCGCATAAAGACTCCCCCCCCCGTAAATAAGAATCATGTCCACAAGTTCAGCATTTTCGTAAACATGTGCATTTTTTATTTCGTTTGAGCCACGCAACAAACCAACAAACACCACTATTCACTCACGCGTTACCGACTGACACATTGACGAAAAACAACTGAATAAAATTGTACATTGTAGTAAAAACATCGTTTCAAATTCTTTCGCTTTTTTGTTTCCGATGCGATGAACGAATAAGGCGGATTATATCCGTTGTTGCCAAACACGAGCACATAATATTATTATTGAGACAGGGCGGTACTCAAACTTCTAAAGGGCTATAACTTTGTTACTTTAATTTTACCAGAAAAATGTTAAAGGAAAAAAGCATTTCTTTTGATCAGATCTACTCACTGTTAAAATAAATGACTCAACTTCGAAGTCACCCTGTATATATTATTTATTTTTCTTTTTAGTATACCTAGGTTATAATAGCACTTACTGAATTTATTGCTGATCGGCGCTTAAAAAATAAACATTATTTATCATTATATTTATTATTTATTTTTCTTTTTAGTATACTTAGGTTATATTAGCACGTACTGAATTTACTGCTGATCGGCGCTTAAAAACAATTTTTTTGAGACGAATGGCCGGGGCCCCCTATAAGCCGGGGCCCCGGGGCACTGCCCCGGTTTGCCCTAGGATAGCTACGCCCCTGGTTCAAGATGACACGCAGGTTGATGACGTCAGTTACTCGAATCGCTTGAACGTGTTGGTTTTAACCGCGGTTTTGTTGCAAGTTGTTTATTTTAGAAAAGCTCGTATATAATTTCTGATTATTTTTATTATCACTTAATAATCGGTGCTTTTTTGTCTACAACGGCGTATGGAAAGTTTAAAAAACAAACCTTTCATAATATTGAAGGGAGAAACGTTTTTTTTTTCAGAAAAAATCTTTTAATGTTGGAACCATAGCGTTGTAGCTATGATAACTTTCATTTCTCTAAACTT